CTAATAAATTACTACTAAGATATTCTGATTCCATTTAAAAGCTATATAAAGAGGACTGTAACAATTCTTGTTTTATATGTCAATATTTACAATACACTGGGAACAGTCATCCTCTGCAACCATTTATTCTTATCAGGAACACTTCTAGATAGCAATCTAAAAATGTTCAAAGGGATACATATTTGCAAAATCCTTTTAGTAGATAAGTGAGAAAAATGTTTTTAGATCACTGCTCAGTCTGTAAGATCATAGCATTTTATGGGCAGGGCCTACAGTTTAAGCACCTTTGTGCCAAAAACAGTACCTCGAACCAAACAGGTATTCAATAAATGTTTCATAAATGAATAAAAAAATAAATGATTATAGTTTTAAATTAAATTTTGTTTTCTTAATTATTATTTTAAGCTCTGGTTCATGATTTTCTACAATCTTTGAGCACAGCCCATCTTTCAATATGCTCAGAAGTCAAGCCATTTGTAAAGAATTTGTTTAAATGAACTATTAATTCATTTAAATAAGTATTAATCTAAAGGGGAATGAGGATACTTATAACAACAGAACATAACTTAGGCAGAAGAAACTAATGTATGCCTTTCTTCAAATAAACTATTCTGGTTAAGTGCAATCATTTTCAAAAAAGACTTTAGTTAATAATATAAGATATTCAAATGGAAAGTATTAGAATAACTAGAATACAATTAAAAAGTACAAATTATTAATTTTTAAAAGTACAAATTGTTATAGAATATGCTTAACATTTAATTGCATTTATTACAAATAACGCAAAAAAGCAACCACACATAACAGATTAACCTGAATCCCTGAGTATACAAACTGTCACATAAATACTACTACGAATAAATTAAGTTACATACTTTATTCAGGCATGGAGAACATATATTTGAAAATTAAGAACCCTGAAAAGAATCCAAAAGAAAAAAGCCTTCCAAATGAAATTAAATTTAAGGCCACATCTAAAGCAACAAGGCTTGATTTTATCACTTGTAATGATTCTAACTTAAGGAGATTTTCCAAAGATTTATGGAAAAATAATTTCTATACACAAGATAATAATTAATAGTATCTTCTATGTAACAATCTTTTACAAACCACTTTAGACATTATGTCCAATATTCTTCCCCCTTTTCTTTGGTTAATAGAATCCCTCCCTCCAGTGGAGAACCCATCCCATTTGCAGAGTTCATACTACCCATCCTAACCTTTACCCCTGCACTGAAGCCCAGACATAAGCATTCTGTACAAGCCTCACCAGAACACCCCACCCTCCGGCCACAATGTTTTAGAGATGGGCACGTGATCTTGGCTGATAAAGAGTTCTCTCCAGGATTTTTGTCAAGAGCTCACAGCAAAAGATGTTCTCTCTTCTTGACACTGAATTCTAAGGACAATGAAAGTCTGGGGCTGTCCGTAAGGTTATTACTGCTGCCACTTGAAAAAAGCATGCCAGACATTGAAACCAACAGAACAGAAAGGAGATCCAATCAATGGAGAGTGGCAAGTGGGCAGACCACGCGGAAAGGCGGAGACAGCCCGACCCCTAAAGGTTTGAGCATCCTGCATCTAGCCAACCTGAAGACATTGGATCGCCCACCTCTGTGAATCAACATGTTTTTCTGTGCACATTTCTGTCACTTAAAGCCAAATGAGTGCTAACTAATACAATTTTCGTAAGGTAAAGGCAGGCAGAGCAAGTGTAACAATCCCTATTGTACAAAGATACAAGCTCAAAGCGGAATATGGTACATTTTGTCCCTGAGGATATTCTGAAAACCAACATTTTAAACAGAATAATATTACATTCATAAATTTTCATCAATTAGCATTCAGAAAAAAATTAAGCCAAAGGATTCCTTTATCGATTTTTACTGAGTACATACAATCTTTTTGTTTTATTTAAAGATTATTTAAAGATTTATCGATAACTTTTTTGTCCATATAGCATTTTACCAATGACATCTACAACTCTATGTTTTCTTTGTGGCCATCGACATGGGTTGAATACCAAAAAGATTTTATTCTTTCATCAATGTTTAATCAATAACAAATTTTGCAGTATATAGCATTGTCAGAGCTTTATATTATATTGTTAATTTCTAAAAATTCTTTAAAAAGTGTATATGAGTAATAGTTATTATTTAATTCTTAGCTAACCCCTGAGAAACCCAGATATTTTCCTCAGATATTTCAAAGCTGTTATATTGTCATGATCTTGACCAATCTCAAAGATACTTTGAGATTGGTCAAGATCATGACAATATACTGTGCATCTCAGGCACATCTGTGGTAGTCCATCTAAATTGTGCTTTTAATGCTCTAATTTCCTTCCAAATTGTAAACTATAGATTACGTTAATGAATATACACACTTTAGGACCTTCTACTCTATGAAATGCTCTCACAATTCAATGACTTGTAACTTTGACATAGAAGCTGCTGTAGTTCAGGATTTTTCAACTGCTGCATTACTGACATTTTGGTTGGGATAATTCCTTGTTGTGGGCTGTCCTGTGCATTGTAGTGTTTCACAGCATTCCTGGCCTCTACCCACTAGATACTAGTAACACCCCCTTCCTCCTGGTTATGACAACCAAAAATGTCTTCAGATAGTGCCCAATGTTCCCTGCAGGAGGGGAGTCACCGCTGGTTAAATGTCACCATTTTTTTTTGTAATACAAAACTTAGGTCAAACAGAAAACCAAATATATCAGCAATTTCCATGTTGATCTCTATGTTCCTAATACAGGTTTTCCCAATGATTTATTAGGTTAATTGTTCTGGGATTTTACTGCTAAACTCTTCAATATACAACAGGGTCACAATGACCTCTGGGTCAAAATAGCCTGCTGCAGGTTCAAAGTAGTTAATAATTTCCCCAGAGTTAATACCTAGTAAGTACAGTGCTAAAACTGAACCATAGCATAGTTCTTCCCTTTACACCATATTTCTCAGGTGAAGCCACAGTTTTCTATTTGCCCTCCAAAGTCATTAATTCCATTTTAGCCCAGGGATCTAATCTTCAAATCACAAAAGCGCTTAGAGACAGATATTTATTGCATTGTTTATATATTCAAAATGGAAAATCTGATTATCCAAGAGAGGGAAACTGGTAAAACAAATATTACACAGGTAAATATATGAACGTAATACTTACTTAAAACAATCACATTTAGCAATATTTATCACTATGTTAATATGCTCACAATAATGGCTAAGTGCGAATAAGTTAAAAAACACACAGGATCCCCATTTTTTTAAAAAGAAATGTTTGTATAAATAATATATATATACAAAATAAAATCTGATAGGATTAACACCAAAAAGTTAACAATTATAAATTTGTGTGTGAGGATTATGTTTTAGGGGATTTGTCTGTATATTTTGCTTTTCTACATTAAACACAGATGTCTTGTACAAAAAAGGATTTTTAAATATTTCTATTAACAAATTTATCTCATCCACAAAAGTCATAAAGATGAAACAGTGAATTCCTGTGATAATAAAGGCGTGAAAGGACAGCACTAAATAAGTCATGGTGGATTTATAAAGTTATGTTTACAGGTTTATCATCTGACCCTGATCTGTGGTCTCTCTGAACCTATTTAACATCAGAGTCCTATACTGAACCAACTCGTTGGGCTCCATCTGTGAAAACACAATATTTTTTATTGAAAACTCTTTGCAGTAGCTAACTTCCTGATAACTTCTTTGACCCTAAAACCAACACACTACTACTATGACGTAAAGAAATACAAAGAATTGACAATACCTATGAAACACAGGCTTTAAAATTTCATACCCATATGGATGTGTTTATAATCAACATGTATCAATTCATGTACAAAGAACAATTTTTCTTTTCTAAAAAGTCTGCATGAATTAACTGTTCCATCTGCCTACCCCGATAGTTCTAATAGTTCTCCACCGAAAAGGAAGGGGTTTCATTTCTTCTAAAGCCAAGGAAACAGACTAACTCTCACACAGCTGAAAATATATATACTAAGAATGATAAAGAAGCTGACTTTTACTGAACAGTAATATGTGCCAGGGATTGTATTAACTGATTACAACCTCACAACCACCCTATCAGATATACGCTCCTTAGCCTCATTTTGCAATTAAGAAAACCGGGACACAGCACCGAGTAACCTACCCTCAAACCTCCAGATCTAGACCGTGCAGAGAGGCGCTCCAACCCAGACTACCCAACTCCAAAACCCAAGCTACAGATGATGCTCCGCTTCTACCCTACACCTCTGACTTCGAGAACAAAGGAGCAACAAACGAAGACAAACACGAAGAATAAGCAACAAAGGAATAAACAAATAACCCTAGAAGTCTCAATAGTTGCGGGAGCCACATCCACCCCGTCCCTTAACCGCCCAGCGGCTCTGACCCCAACACCCAGGAGACTCCTAAAGCCGGTGCAGGTGGAGCCAAAAGCTGCGGGAGCGGAGACCTCAGAGCACGTGACCCCGTCCGCCAGGGGTCATGTTTTTAGCTGTGTCATCTGCAGCGAGCGGCTGGCCCTTGAGTCTCCACTACCTCAACTGTAGAGTCAGGGTGTTTGTCACAAAATGAAGTTGTCGTTTTTTTCAGCTGTCAGAGAAAAGGGGAACCCGTGGGAAAGGAAAGCCGTAGAGCTTGGAGAGGCTCGTGGGCACACAGCGCCGTGCACGGCGCGTCCTTTGGCAGGAACGCTGCAGTTCCCAGCCGCCCCCGGGGACTCGGAGCAAGGTCAAGTGTGGCTTCCCACCGCCTCCGAGGACGGCCGCCTCTGCGTGCAGAACAGTCGAGTCAGAATCGGGGGGTGAAAGCAGCACGGGGGGAAGGAGACAGCGCTATTCCGCGTCCTCAGCCGCCTCCGTCCAGCCCCCTGGGGGCCCGAGAGCGCAGGCGCGTGGCCCGCGGGGCACCGCGATGCTCCCGCTCTCGGCTCCCCGCGCAGCGAGGCGGCGGCGCGCAGGGGCGTCCCGGCGTTACCTGTCTCGGCCCCCGCCCCGGCGTGCACCAGTCTGACCTCCGGCCGGCCCCGCACCACCTGCCGCAGGAGCAGCCGCACGCGCCGCGCGGCCGGGCCGCCGGGGCCGCCGGGCGTCCCGAGGAGCAGAAGCCGGGACTGCATGGAGCCGGGGGGCGGGGAGGGGGTCCGGGGCGAGCCGCGTCCCGGGCGGGCAGCGTGGGGCGGCGCGGCGAGGAGGACAGGAAGCTGCGCCGCCCCGAGTCCGCCGGAAACTCCTTCCCTCGGCGCCGTCGGCTCCGCAGGCTCGGGCCGCCCCGGCTAAAGGGGGCGGGGGGAGCGAGGGAGCCGGCCCGGCAGGGCTGGGCTGGGCTGGGCTGGGCCGGGCCGGCCACCCTGGGGCTCCTGCCGCAGAGCTAAGCGCCTCCGGCCCCGGCGCGCCCCTCACCCTCCTCGCCCTCACCTGCGGCTGTTCACCTGCGCTCCCCAGGCGGGCCTCCAGCCGTTCCCCTGCAGTCCTGTGAGCTCGCAGGCGCCCGGGAAGTGCTGCAGGGTGTCAGGAGCCTTTGATGGTGGGACTCCTCAGATGTTTGTACTAAGCCTTCGCTTCTTGGTAAATAGCCCAGTCTTACTATAGTGCGCTTCCCCTCGACGCTGCTGCAGGTCCTTCCCAGAAACTGAGGATGTGTTCATTCGTTTTGGGGAACTGTCACCTATCTTGATTCATTGCATCCACACCCGTGTTTCCATACAGTAGTTGAAAACCTTAAGCTTTATCTTTTTGTTGTTGTTCTAGCGTTTTCCCTAAATTCTGAATGGGAAGCTCATATCTTAGTTATGTATAGAAATTGCCAAAATGTCAGAACCCGCATTAAGCATTTTTTTTCAGTCATTCTGCAGTGCAAGAGTTATATAACCATAATTTATGCATTTAGTAAGACAAAAGAGTAGTACAGTGGCTAAGGCAGCCGCCCCCCCCTTCATAAATGCCAGGCGCAGAATGGTCCTACCACAAAGCAAACTAAGCCTAATATAATTATACTGCATCTCCGAAATGTCAGGAGTTAATTGACCGAGGCAAAATGCTAAAATCAAATTATACAAAAAAACGTCAAGCAAAAATAAGGCAGAAGGCTTCACTTTCAGCTAAAGGACTTGCTAATTCTCGAGTTGTCACTATCTTTAAATCTTTATTGAGCACCTACTAGGTGAAGAACCTTGTGATAGGTGCTAAGAAGAAAGTGACAGGAAGCTGTAAAAGAAAGAAGCTGAGCTGGGGGGAGGCTTTGTGCATCTTTCTTAGGACTTAGACTCAAGGGCTGAAGGCCAAAACAGGCTTCTACCTAGCTGGGTAAACACTTGTATCGTGCACTGCAACATGGTTTTATAGCTATGTTCTCTTATACTCTTCACAGCCCTATGAGACTGCTAAGGGGAAAATGACATGAATGTAAGATGTAACGCACTAGGACATTCTTACCCACATGGAGTACATACTATGATCCAGGCATTGTGCCAATCACTTTAATGCATTATCTCATTTCACACAGCAGCACTTTGATTGAGTTGTTATTATTATCCCTCATTTCACAGACGAATAAACTGAGAATGGAGGAGTTAAGTACCTTGATGGGGCATCTCCATTTAACCTCACTGGAACCCAGTCCATACTTGAAAACAGTGGAAGAACAATCTAAGGTAATTTAACAAAATGACTTATGTAAGCGCTCTTGGAGTTAAGACAATGGGGAGACCAGTACAGGTTGGAGCATGCAGTCATTCAAGAACATTTATTGAGCAACTCTTGTATAAACAGTACCCTGCTAAGTACTCTGTAGCAAGGGCTTCACATTAACTATAAAAAAAACCCAAACATACAAATAAAGAATTACAATACAAAGAGACATTTGTTTAAGATATTATTTAGATTCAAAGTACTCTGAGGTGGAGCCCGTCACCTGGGAGAGGTCAGTGAGTTTTCACAGAAAAGGTAGTATTTGAAATAATTCTTTTTTTTTAAATTTTTTATTTTATTTTTATTTATTTATTTATTTTTATTGGGGAACAGCCATGGTCATTGGTTACACGTTGATTTCATGCTACAATGGCATAGTTGACTCTTTTAGGGAGGGCGCAGCTCACAGTGGCCCATGCGGGGATCGAACCAGCAACTTTGGTGTTATCAGCACCATTCTCTAAACTGAGCTAACCGGTCACCCCCTGAAATAATTCTTGAAGGATATACAAGAGTTTATCAGGTTGAGAAAAGGGCAAGTCGCATCTGGCAGAGGGAAGAGTATAGGCAAAGACACAGAGCTGAAAATCCGTGTGGAAACTGAGAATCAGAGAGGGAGTCACTGTGCCTGGAGGCCAAGTACATAAAGTAGTTCATAGAGATAAGACTGGAAAGAGAAATGGGATCATGTTTGCAAGGGGTAAGAGTTTCTACATTTGCCTCCAGGAAATGGGAAAATGGTGAAGATTTTTTTAAGCTGACACATCTGCAGTGTGAAGGAGAAAATTGAGCCAGAGAAAAGGTATGACCAGAGTTTTACTTTGAATTCTAACTTGGATTTGGATAAACAAAGAAGAGGGATATAGAGCATGAGTAGAAGCTTGGAGTTGTGACAAGCATGGTTAGTTTGTAGGGATAGTGAGACAAGGTGAGAGAGGCATAATCTTTGGAGAACTGGAGAAGGCATTGTCAGAGGAAAAGAAAAGTGAAGAATCTTGAATGGCCGGGTGAAGAAGTTGCACTTTATCTTACAGGCCAGTTGGCTGGGCACCAGATATTCTGATCATTTTTTAGGCAGTGATGTGAACTATGAACTGAGTAAGACAGACAGGAAGCAGTAGCCTCTAGCTACGTGACGGTAAAAATAGTCTCTGCTCAAAGCTGTGAATCCCTGTTGGTGACAGTGAGGCTGAATGGGAGAGAATAGACCTGAGCAATGTGTAAAAGATGAATCAGAGGTGTTTGGTTTTATGAGATACCTATCACAACTCTGCGTAACTTCTCCCAAATTCTCACTAAAGTCACTAGTCATGTATTTTTGTTTTATTATTAGTGTCAGGTGTACAAAGCAATGTAATAGTTAGACATTTACACCTCTCACAAAGTGATAACCTGCCTCCCAATCTACTTCCCCTCTGACTTCGTATATACTTGTTACAATATTATTGACTATATTCCCTATGCTGTATTATATATAGTCATTGGATGTATAAGTATAATATATAAAATTATATATTATACTCTTATACTCCCTATATATAATTATAGTTGACATTCAATATTATTCTACTTCAGCTTCAGGTGTACAGCGCAGGGGTCAGGCATCTACACAGTCTATGAAGTGATCCCCCGATAAGACCAGTGCCCATCTGTCACCCTACATGATCTTTGCAACATTATTGATTCTGTTCCCCACACTGTCTTTCGTATCCCTGTGGCAATATTGTAGTTACCTATTTATGCTGTCTAATCCTTTCCCCTTCTCCCTCATCCCCACCACCTCCCAACTAGCAACCATCAGTTTTTTTTCCCTCTATCTCTGAGTCTATTTCAGTTTTGTTTGCTTATTTATTCTGTTCTTTAGATATAAGTGAGATCATATGGTATTTGTCTTTCTCAGTCTGACTTATTTCACTTAGCATTTAAAATATGTAAATATTGGGTTGTCGGAAAAGTCATGACATATTTTTTCTATGTTTTTCATTGCAAAAATCCATCACGACTTTTCCGACTTTTTTTTTTTTTTAAACACACTACCAAAAACTGGTATTGACTGCTAGGCTTTTTCCAGAGTTGGGAGGAATAATGTTTACCTACTACATTACATTAATGTAACTGGATGGAAATGCAGTTACTAATCCGTCGTGCTATGTCCAATTAGGAGAAGTAGGTGCTTCCTCCCTCCTGACTGTCAACCCCACTGGGAAATCGCAGGTCCATATCAGTGATTCCCAGACTGCAGTGTGCTTCCTGATCAGCTGGAGAACTTATTAAAATGTTGACTCTCAGGTTTCATCCTGCGCCCCTGTCCTGAGATTCGGACTCGAGGTCTGAAAGGGCCCATTTCTAGCAGTACCTATAGGAGATCAACTACGTGGCACACATTTTAGTGGTAAAGCTAGACAACGGTTCTCTCTGTTCTGTTTTCCTGCTAAGGCTGGCTCACCTATTCATCCTCTTCAGCACTTCTTGTAAAACAATTTGTAACTACTCCCCACTTGTCCACAAGCAACCAAAATAAAGTAAAATAGAACTGAGCAGGGGAATTGGAGAAAAGAGGAAAGGAGAGAACAAATGAGGGCTCCTTTACATCATGAAATGCTTTCAGACAAGGACACAGTCAGGGAAGCAGCCCTGATAAGACTGAGAACTGTAGTTTCTCTTGAATTCCATCTATCCACAGTATGGGAAAGTCATGTGTGTGATAGGACATGAACACATCACACCTATTATACGGATTCATCCCAGAGGAACCACAGTTTTTAAAAATAGATGTGCTTCTTCATACTCATGGATCGAAGAAGAAAATAAAATTAGGAAACACTTGGAATTGAACAATAATGAAAATATCTCCTATTAAATCCTGTATGTGGAACTAAAGCTATACTATGCTTAGAGGCTGGAAATTAATGGGCTAATTTTTCAACTTGAGAAGTATAAATAAGAATAATGGGTTAGAACCAAAGGGAGTTGAAGAAGGAATAATTTTAAAAATGTAAAAATTAACAAAGGTAGAAAAGATAAGAGAATCAAAAGTTAGTTGTGTGTAAAGACTTATTTTTATAGCAGAAATAAAATGACTCAATAGAAAGATTGGAAGATAAAGGTGAATAAATTCCCCCAGAAAGGGAAACAAAAAGACTAAGAAAAGGAAAACAAAATACTTAAAATTGAGAGAATCAGTCCAGGAGATCTAACATACAAATTCCAGAGTTCAGGCATTCCTGTGGGAGAGAAGAGAATGAACAGGGAAGGAAATCATCGACTCATCAACATTCAAGATAATTTTCCAGAAATGAAGGAAGCAAGGGTCTAGATTTAAAAGGCTAAACCCAACGAAGTTGTTGGTGAAATTTCAGTAAACTGAGGGGGAAAAAATAAAAGAAAGAACCTGCTAGCTCCCAGATAGAAAATCAGTCTTCATATAAAAATTACGAATCAGAATGTCTGGACTTCTAAAGTCATAGCAAAAGGGGAAGACAGGGAGATACTGTAATCCCAGGCGACTGTGTATCAGA